TTGTTTCTCGGTCGTCTCCCCCGCCCCCCCCCCTTTTTTGGACATCTGGATCCGCCCCTGTAATACGTTATTTGACATTTGGAACAACTTAATACAGCAGGCATATAACCTATAATTCATGAATTTTAATTAGGTTCTCGTAAGTTACGATAACTTATGCAGGTACCTCTCCTTTAGGCCACTGTAGGGCTTTTGCGGAAGAGACGAAAACGCTTGTTCAGAAACCTAAACCAAGTGCATGCTTTTCTATTCTTGTGTGTTTTAATGTATTGAATCAACATGTATTGAAATCATAATCGTAAATTAGATATGCCCGAATTGTACTCTACAAAGGCAAAAAGTTGCTCAAAAATACCTGTGCATTCGTTTCGTTACATTGGTGTAAACAAGCACTCTTCCACTCGTTTATATACAGTATAGAAGATTCAATTTAACTAATAGATTTTTGCAGCTACATTTTAGGCTCTTAATTATGTGACGATTAACCTCATCTTTATAGAATGTTGATAGAAGGGGACAGTGTGCCATGTTCACTCACTGTAAGTCTCGTACCGGTAATATTCACTGGATGTAAAGGCCTACCTAATATGAATGTCAACGGACATCAACTATAGTGACTACATATATTATTTTGAAAAATATAACTTCCTTTCGACCGATTCCATGCAAGCCTTTAGTCTGATTCTAAGCTATATAGACTATCTACGGTATATAAACCTATCATAAATATTGGTGTAAAACACAGGCCTCTAAATACAGCACTACGATTATGACCTTATCGCAAGCAAGCACTCTTTCACAATGTGTAAGCCAGCAGCAGCGACTTGCAAATAGTTAAATTTCATTATAATAAATATTTACTTACTAGTAATGTTTGGTTGTTTTCTGTTAAAAAAAATAGAGGGAATAATATCCTACATTAAAACTGCTATACAGTATCGTTACCATAGACGTCCAGTATATTTCCAACCATTCAACACCGATTCAATAGAACGTCTGAACTCTTTGAGTGCATGCGGGTATGAAACCACGATTGTGACGTAAAATTAGGGCTCGAAAGAAAACTGAAGGTCTTTTAGAAAGTTGAAAAGAATGGCAATCTTTTGTGTTGTGAGTGGTATTATGTTTGTAAGCAAAGGACTTAACACACTTTGTGGCTTTGTTAGTTCGCGACCTAACGATTACCACGGTGTCGGTCAACATGACAATATTTGTTTTATCATATGACGAATCAGTCCATGATGACTAGATAACTGGGATATCCCGAGTGTCTAGCCTGGACATTAAAAAATCTCAATCTTTGTTATAATTTTAGTAATACTCGACAAAACAAAATGGCTGCATATGTTACCGCGATACACGCTGCGTAATCAAGGCTGCGTCAGATTGTGGCACTATGGGTTTTTCGTAAAAAATATTTTCATCCAGTTTTTGAATTCTGTTAGCCTCCAATTATTTTTTGACTTCAATGTGGGTAATTATTATAATTTTTATTTTCTGAAATTTAATCTAAATTACATTAACGCAAATGTTTGTTGTTAAACTGACCAATCGGCCATATTTTTTTGGTCACGTGCATAACTTAACGCTGATTAACGCATTCTGGTTACGTTAATTTTCGTTGTCAACTAAGTCTATTAACACGAACCAGTCGAATGAAAATAATACTCAACGAAAATTCGTACTTAACGAAATGAACCAGTCGAATAAGCACAAGGTGTTCTATATTTAGAAGTTTGATATTTATGTTTTGTGGCACGCATTATTTATGGTGAATTTCAAACATTAAAAAAAAAAACTGATCATTTATACCGTACAGTATTATTAAACTTACCTGAACAATAATATTGTTTGTTTCATACAGGGCTAATAGCGGTTACTGATACGTAATTATAATTCACATACAGTACCACACAAAATTTTAGGGGGAATAATGTATACCTTATACAAATAGAGTAAATCAGGTCAGCACAATTTAAAAATCCTTTAATGAAATAATGTTGGTAATAATTAAAAAACAATTTGAAAGCATTTTTATTTGTTATTATATTAACATTAGACAATGCCATTTCATATACAGTAAAACCCCTAATAAGGGGGGCATCATCAGGACGACCAAATGTGTCGCAACGGAACGTGTCTTGGAACAAGTTGAAACAATATCAGTTAAGGAAAGTCCGCTTACGAAAAAAGACACCAATGGACATCGTATACGCTGTTACTCGTCGTCAAGCAATAATCCACAGAGTTGGCTGTCAAGAAGACAGAAATGACAACCGTTACAAACTGTTAAGAATTAACCTAACATTTAAAAAATGAACAAATATATACTTGATGTAGGTCAAATCTGTATATACAGCATTGCTAAGTTGAAAGTTCAAATAAAAATAACGAAGAACTTTATTTTCCTTACTGACACAGAGCTGCAAAATATTACCGCACCCTATTTAAAAAAGGTCACAGATAGCTTTTCCAATAGAATGAACTTCAATTAGCCTATGTGTGTTCCATGTCGGTTTTGTATGTTGTTTTCCTCTTTGTTCAATAGTGACTGCGCCACTTTCTTGTGTGCTGCCACTGACTGATGTTAAATTGAAATGTCAAATAAATATTATATTCCTTTTTGACGTCACGAGTTTTATTAAACGCCCTCTACAGTTGGTGAATAATTATGAGATGGTGTGCTGATATAGAACTGATCGAAAATAATTTGTTTCTAAGAACTGCATGTCTCACAAACCATATATACATATACACATATGCAGTACATCAATCATAATTGTCGAATTGTCAAATTAAATTAAGGCTAAGTATGACTCTATTTCAAGAACTACCTCATTAAAAAAAAGATTAATTTCAAATGCAAAGGAATGCATAATCAATTTGTTATTTATTCCAATGACTTTAATTCATGTCTTGATTTGAGTGACATTTCGGAAATTATGTACAAAATTAAAAGTAATAATAAATATAATCTTCAGAACATTAAGCACAATTTCTTCGTACATTTTTCCTAAAATAAAAAAAACAAAAGCATCAGTGGCAATCATTCTCTATAGCAAAAGATTTAATCCTTAACAATTACTTGAAGTTGATATTAAAGCAATGAGAAATTATTACCAGCAGCAGGTCTCTATGCACAATGTGATTAATAACTGCTTGGTCTTAAAATCAACAAAATGCTATAACAGCATTAGCATTCATTCGTTTCTGTAACAATTTGAATGAGTTATTCAATAAAGGCTAGAATTCATCAGCTGGTTAACCCACTCTATGGGTGAGGTTAAAGATAGTTTCTCTGAGCAATATTACCAGCCATTTTCTTGTTAAAATAAAGTCATATGAAATTAAATTTTATCCCTGGTATAGATAAGTGAATTAATCATTTACTATCCCTTTTGTACACATTTATTCTAAGACTATTTTTTTTTTGAACAATAAACTCAATCAATTTAAATCCTCTTTCGATTAAAATTTCCATTTTAAAAATTAGACTACATTTTAGAATGTAAAATGAATTACTGAAATCGAATATAAATAAAATGTATTAATCTAATCCTAAAAGTTGGGTTGTAAATACAGTTTGCTAGTTCTTCTATCAAATACTCGAGCAGTTTGTAATAAAAAAAACCCCCAAAAAACTGTGTAAATGTCACCTTACATAACATCGAACCATAAAAGGGGTCCCACGCCCAAGTCTCCAGGAAGTCGGGATGGACTCCCGCACTCCTGCAAGCAAGAATCTCCCGCAAATTCATAATATTTGTATGTTTTTACCACTTCACTATTAATCAGGGGTGGATTTAGAGAAGGGGTCGGACCGGCCCTTTCCCCCGCCCCTTTTGGAAAGTAAAAAAAAAAAAGGGAAAGAAGTAAAAAGAAATATTTGACCTTCCAAAATGCCTCGGAGGATATTTTCGGGTGCCTAGAAAACAACAATTTGGTGAAGGAAATCCTCTGGACTCCCTACAGCAGTGTTGTATCGATCGGCCACACTTTCGGACGTCTCTGGATCCGCCCCTGTCAATTGTCTCATGGAAGTCGTTGCCAACGGGTTGCATCATGCACAGCAATAAAATTCAAGTGGGTTAAGAAAGGTCATTTAACAAGATCTCCAGGAATGAATTTCTTCCAACTAGGGACCCCTGCCATAATAATGCCACAAATAAACAAATTAATTTATGTGGTTTTGGCACAAAAAGCATCAAGAAATTGTCCTTTTTAAAAAAGGTACAGCATTGAAGTATGTAAACACATGAATCTACCAAAACTTGATTTTTTACACCCACAGTTAACTGAAAATTGAATTTCACACATCAAAAATCAAGAATCATGTTAACAATAACAATTAATATGTAATTAATAACATTTATAATAAAGTTAAATCTTGAATAAGAAATATTTCTATATAAACCCAATACACTTCTATAAAATATTTAAAGATGTATTGTCTCATGCAAAATAGCAGAAAAATAATAAAAATTATTTTCCGAAATTACCTTTCCCATTTTGAAGTAAAATAAAAATGAGCAAAAATTAGTGTAATTAAAAAATGTTTACCCATCATATTATCGAAAAACGTTCACTGGAAGTGTTTCATTAGTTTTATTATCATTATCTAATATAAAAATCATAGAAAATATTTTTAAATTCAATAATTGTTATGCTCAAGTTAACAATTTGTTACTGCAAAATGAAGTAATTTCATAATTATTTACGCATTTTTGTATTTTTCAAGGGGCAATACATCTTTAATAGTACATCCATAATTTATAATTTTGCAACAGCAAAGGTAGGTTCATGCTAATAAACTTTAAAAGGTTCATGAGGTTACATAATTATTTCGGAATGAGAAAGACTCTTACATTTCTCTATTGTAAAAGTCTCAAAATATTGTTTACATTTTTGAACCTAAAATATCAAAGAAATAGTTGGAATATCATAAACCTATGACATCAACTTTTGCTTCCAAATCTAAAATTTCAAAATCGTATATTGCACATTATTCAAATAAAAATGATACACTAATGCATACATAATTATCTACAATATGCATACATAATTAGCTACAATTCAACACCAATTAAAAAAATTCTAACAAGCAAAATATCCACATCAATTTCTGGAAGATTTCGCTATTCAGCACCGATTTTAAATTTTGGAAAGTTGAAATTTAAATCTCTGTCCATAATTATTTTGGGTAGATGGTACAAATAATAAATATTTATAAGTAATTATATTTAAATTTAAATCCCATTCTCAAAAGAACATAAGAAGGATGTAACACAATTCCAAAGTACTTTGTTACCATAATAATTATTACCAAATTCAATTAATATTAATCAACACGAAATAATATTGATAATCTCATTCCACAATAATCAAGAAGAAAATTAATAACCTATCAAATTACTTGACTATAGACAATTTTATTGGATATATTTTAAAACAGCGCCACCAACGTCTCGCAACTCACTGGGGGACTTCCAACAGCCTAGCCTGAGAAGGTGGCTAGTTACAAATAGAGCACTGCCCAGCGGTTAGCGCCACTAGACCTGCTATAGAAGCAGTAGACAACAGAAACGATTATACGCTAATTACTGTATAATTAATCTTTGAAATAGCTTTTTAAGTCTTTGACTTGTTTTTAATATAAACATTTCGTTTTTTTCCGTTTTAAAATATTTGTGCTCGTTAGTAATTTAGTTTTATCATTGATTTAATTTATGATGGTAACTACACAGAGCGAAATGCTAGGTCTCCGATAGTCCATCAGTGACAGTTGCCAGGTTATCAAAAATTTTCATTTCAAATTTCGCGAAAATGGTCAATACAGAACCCTCAAACATTCCTTGATTTTTGTGGTCAAATAACATTTTCTCCAAGTAATTAAAAATCATATTCACTTACTCTAAAATATTTTTTAAACTAAAAAAAAATGTTTTGCATTTTTTAGACAATTAGTTATTAACACCACAGTGATTTTTAGTAATTACCAAATAATTAATTTTAATATAATTTAATTATGTTTTAAATTATTTAAAAGGGAATTACATTAATAATTTGGTGATCAATATTATGGAAAAAGTAAAAAAAAAAAGTGTAAATACCTTCTCAACAATATTTTTGATTTCCATAATTTTTAATTCTACACAAATAGGAGACTGTTTAACAGCAAGAATTTCTCTTAATGTACATAAGAACATCCTGATAATTATTCAAGTATTGAAAAACAGTTAACAATATCAGCAATAAAAAATGCAAGTGTCAGCAAGCAGACACGTCAGAAAAATAAATTTGCATAAAAAACTTTCATAAAGATTAATAATAATTGCAAGAATTTTTATGGTGTAGAATCCTAAAATTTCAGTAGCTAAGTAGATTCACATGTACTGCCCTCGCTTGGTGACTATATCTTGGGTAGCTTAGGGGCGGTAACCATTGGATTACTCTGCTCCAACAATTTGCGTCCCTCGCTTTTGTAATCATAACCGCAGCTATGTACTTCAGCGTAGCGATGACTGGCACAAAAGTTACGACCACACCTAGTAGAAAAACAAATATTAAATTTCAAATACATAATAATTAACAATAACAGTTTTTGTAATATTTTTATTACCGCCGCCAAAGGAGGTTATGTATTTACCGCAGTCTCTCTGTTAGCGTAATTATGCAAAAACTAATAATGGATCATCAAAAAATTTCATAGAATGGTACATATAAATCAGACACCATTCAATTTTTAGGAAAGAAAAGGTCAAAGGACAAGGTCACAGAAATTCGATTTTTATCCTCAACCACAAAAGAAAATAATGGAATCGTGATTCCATTAATTTCTCTAGGGTAAGCTGCAGCACTCAAGAAAATAATGTGCCTCAATACACACTTCAAAAAGCATCTGCACATTCTTCAGTAGTCAACCACAGGGCCAAACGTTTTTCATTTCATTCATTTCATTTATTTCGCCTTTTTGTTTTTTATCATAAAAATACAGTAAAATATTCAGAAAATTCATATTTCCCCCAAGAGCCGGCAGGATTACCAAAAAGTAAAATTAATTACTGTCTGAGTGGCTCTCCAAGCAATGGGGGAAACATGGACTAGCAGTATAAATACATTATAAAAATATATATATATATATCTCTTATACACATCTAGATGTGTATAAGAGACAGTCTCTGGATCCGCCCCTGTCAATTGTCTCATGGAAGTCGTTGCCAACGGATTATTATTATTATTATAACAACAATAATAATAACTACAATAAATTTAATTACATGATAGGCGATGGAATCACCTATCATACACAGCCTGTGTATTGTTGGTGTTCAGGTATAGGGCTGAGGTATGCACTTTATGGAGTGACTGTTCTAGATTTATCGATCATTTTGTCTTACAAATTGTAAAATGGCCTCACCTGCACTTGTAGCTGGAGGCAAGGCCTGTTTTCTTGTTGCACAGAAAGCACCTTTTACTTGTCTTTTTCTTGTTGGATGTTAAAGGTGGCTTTGAAACCGGTGGTAATCGATGTATTGGGGAAACTGCAAGCAAGAAAAAAATCAACAGTTTTTCATTCATTTTCCTAGCAAAGTTAAACACTGGTTTGATTCTATGTACCTACATTATAAATAGAGATCATGAACATCAAACTACTAACACATGTATTTAGTAGCTCCTATCATTTTAAAACTTTGCATTTTACAGCACTAATACAAAACACCTAATTAGGTACTGTTGTCTTGGTAGCTAAAAACAACCAGCAAAACAGTTTAGGAATTACCGTATTCTAGTATCACATAAATTTTGTAGCTCTCATAAAAAAAAAATTGCGCGTGAATAAAGTGGAAAGTAGAAAAACGGTGTCGCAATTGGTAATGCTAACAGCCCTGTGTCTTCAGGTTTACTTAATTCACTTAGTTTCCTTCCATACATACTTTGTGTTGTGTCCTTGGACATTGTTTACATTTTCTGAATAAATCGATACACAACATCAGTTTAGCAAATTAAGTGTGAAACAATCTAAGAACATTATCTATGGTAACAATGTATAACAGTACCAAATGAAAAGGATATTAGATAATTCCAATTTTTGATAACTTTACCTATTCGGCCATCTCGACTGCCAGATAATCGGTGTCTTATACTATGGGCAGACTGCAGAAAAAGAATAGACATTATTTAATTTTCATACTCTAAATAAACATAAATTAACTTTAAATAATTTGTGTGTTTTCATGATTAACACTCTGCCTGCCAAACACGGAGATCTACGTGTTTGGTTACGCAACGCTTGACTGACAGACACAGAGATCTCCGTGTTTCAGGGTTTTTTTTACGGAATCCGATTGATAGGGTAATTACCAACATGTACTAACAAATTGAACGCTATATTCAGTACGGGCCATAAGTATTTCACTATTTGTTTGTTTACATTGAGTGTAGCGGTATTGATGTACTTTCACAAAATCGCGATTATCTTCGTTGTGCGAAATTGCGTGAACCTCCAAAAGTGAGTAATTTCTATTTTACTGTTACAGGTCACAGGTTGTTATTAGAATAAAGTGTTTGGTACCATTGTAAAACTAAATATTTGTAGTTCTTGTAGTATTCATTACATGTCAATCTGATCACATAGGCACTCTCAACAAGCTTTGGAAATGTATCAAAATTCGCTAAAAAGGCTGGTGGTGGTTGATACAATATTTTCAAACCCCTGGCGGTCAGAGTGTTAATAGTTGAGCTCACAACTATCCTATTAGAGTTGCAAAATTGGTTTTGCAATAGCGTATCTATTCTAAGTTTTGAAACTGGTGGGCGGGTGCTGATGGGGCTAATGTGCTGTGTAATAAAACTAAGTACTCTCCATGTTCGAGGGCAGTGCTTAGCAAAAAAACATCATATCTGTTTAGCGTGGCACTTACAAAGACACACAGAGGTGCATATACGATTAATTACGGTAAATATAAATACTTACAATTAAGGACTTGCGTGTTTCTGGGGTACCGATTCTTTCTGAGCATCTTGCGTTACCTATTCCTGCACTGTTCATAGCACGTGATAATGAAATTGTACCTGATGTCCCTCTACCGTGCCCACTCCCTTTACCAGTATGCGACTCTCTTGATGTCGTACACAATATATTATTTATCTTCCCCTCCTTATTGGCTTGGTTCACAAGATCTGTTACCATTCGTGCATCCGCTGACTTTAATGTGCTTAGATCACGTTTGGAACCAATACTAGAATTTTTGCGATCCAAGTTTGACGTGGAAATAACGTTTGAAGTCATTGAAGTGTTTGGACGCATGTCCTCTAACACACTTTTTGAACTTGTTGGCAATGTTCCAAGGTTCGTGTATGACCTCTGTAAACAAACATCCTTTAAACTTTCTAATGCTTTAGCAGATAGTCCAGGGCTTTGAAGTTTAGTTCGTTTCTCTGCTCGTGAATGACTAGCGCCCTCTATAGACTGAGCGTTGTGAGTTAAAGTATGATTGTTAGTGGCAACCTGTGTACTTATGGGTTGAGATAGACTAAGCGGAGGTAAGATTGATGATTTGGTACCCGGATTTGGCTTCTTCTTTTTACTAGCTGACTGCCGTCGTCGAAAACCGCTTTTGGGGCGACCTCCTGATGGTGGTCTTGGTTGTGTCTTGGGTTTCTAAAATAACAATTGAGAGTGATAAATTTCTAATTTCCTACCTTTTCAAGGGGTTATCAATTATTTTCATCATTTTCATGAGAGAAAAAAAACATTGCTAGGGGTCAAAACTGTATGTACTCTTTCTTAGTGAAAAGAAAAAATAATAATCAAAAATGGAAGCAATCATAATTTTTTATGTACCTTTTTCGGAAGAGGGAACATTCAAGTGTAACATATAATATAATGATGTAAATTAAGTGCGCTACATAAATCCTATCAAAATAAAATAAAAAATAAATAAACAAATTGCAAAAATTTGAATAAATGGATCTTACTTTTCTTGAAATACTCATATTCTCCATCTTGGCTCTTAACAATTTCATTTTATTCATGGTAACATCATTCTCCTTGACTGTTTCTTGAGACAGCACTGGTTCCTGGTCATCCTCATCAACCATGTTGTACATAGATGCTCCGCTGTTAAACAAGAATATAAAAAGAATGTTTTAAGCTTTTGTTCATAATACAGTAGAACCCCACTCCTTTGGGACACCCCTATTTGGGAGACACTTTTTTGGCCACAAAACGATTGAAAGTATATCTTTTACCACAATGGCTAATAGTTAGGTGAGTTGAATGGCCGAGCGGTTAGCAGGGGCGCCGCAAGCTATAGCCATAATATCGGCGCTGGTTCAAACGGCACGCTCGCCTATGGTTCTGGTAGTAGAACGTCTCCTCGGATAAGGACTATAAACCATAGGCCCAGTGTATACAATGGCTCGTGTGCACTATAAAGAACCCAGTACATCCTTCGAGATGAGTAGGGGGTTACCCCAGTGTACTAGAATAGACAGCCCCTGTGGTGGACGACGAGAGTTGCTGGTACTGGGTTACCAGGTAGCACAGACACGAAGGGACCCTTAGGGGCGAAGAAAGTCATTGATCGAGTTCCTAGTTCACATTTCAAGTGCCATGAGCATCTTACATTAGATGGATATTTGCGCTATATAAAACTACACTATTATTATTATTATTATTAACCTGTATTCAGGGGACACTTTTTGGTACTGAAGGTGTCCCATTAATTAGGGTTTTACTGTAGTTATAAAAGTACTTTGATAATATTAACAAAATGTTACAAATAAATTTATTTTTAGGTCTATTACACAGATTTACTCAAAATGTTTGAAATACATTTTGCTATCAGTGCTAGCTTTTCAGACACTGATGGTATGACACCAATTAAAAAAATTAAGAATTCCCAGGTTTAATTTCCACAAAAAATAAAACACTTATATAGTTAACTAAAAAATACAATAGATTGATTGAAATCCAATAACAAAGAAGGAATTAATACTACCTTAAGGACTCTGATAGTGGTGTCAAAGTGCCATCTCCGCGGTCAACTACTCGAAAGAAGTTAAGCTGATCACCCTCACGAAAAACTAGAAGTGTTACCTGGCGATTACCAGGGATTCGTTCCAAGATTTCATCTTTGTTGGCTTCCATGTATTCTGCCATTTCTCGGATGGCCGGATCTTCCATTGGTACTGAAAGCAAGAAAAATACAGTAAAACCTCGTTTTTACGTACCCCAGTTATACGAACCCTCGGTTTTACGTACGCCTCGTATGGACGATGACATCATCAAAAACCCCGAAAATATTCAAAACAAACGGCCCTTTTGAGAGCAACCATAAGTAAAAAGACTATAACAATAAACTATAAGAATAAACAAACCATAATGCAACGTATTTTCATTAAACAGCAACGTTGATTGAGTCTAATACCGGGTTGTTATAATCTAAAACCATGTGAACTGAGTGAGATGAACAACTACCGATGGTGCTCAAAATAATTGCTTTCCTCCTTAGCTTCGTGTGACAAACCATGGAAGAACTCGTCTGGTCGAATTTTCTACACGAAGCTGGGTAGACATAGTTTCGTACACGAACGCTAATTGGTTGGCTCGCCCCGTGCATAGCACATGGTTGCTGTTTCACGTACACGAACGCTAATTGGTTGGCTCGCCCAGTGCAGCGCACATGGTTTTAGTTTGTCTTAACAGGCCCAAACAAGACACCACAGCTCTGTTGTTTAGAATAGGCATGAAGGGGAATTCCCAAGTTATACCTTTGTCTTACAATATTTTCATGTTCTTTATTTTAGTTAAATAAAAGATATAAAGTGATGAATTAATACAGTAGACACATGGTTTTATTTGAACACTTTATTATGACATCGTAAATTGATGATTAAAAACACTAAACCCATGGTTTTATTCGTAGGCCCAGGCCAGGTCTAGCCTAAGTAACATCGTTCGTTCGTACAAACGTTTATTAGGTCAAAGGTTACCACAAATTTAGCCCAACCTCTATTTTACGAATCCCCCGATTTACGTACGCCCTCTGGTCCCGTACCGTACATAAAATCGAGGTTCTACTGTATAAAATGATGCTTGATAAGTCCATTTAAAAAAAATTTTAAATAAAAAAAAAAAACAATTAACTACTAATACTATTATTAATATTGTATTAGTAATTATAATCATTTTAAGTATATTGATTATATTATTTGTGATGTGAACATAAAAATGTTACCATAGTATAAGAACTACATGTACACAATTTCATCCATATCAATGGTGGCAATAAATACAACCACCATTAGGCCAAAAAAAAAAAAAAATTTGTGTTGGCCACAATTTGTAAAAATCCAAAAATTGAGTAGGTCGGTAAGAAATGTTTTTTTTTTTAACAACAAAATATGTGTTTATGCCTAAAAAGTAGAAAACACGCAAATAATATGTCAACAATTTTGGATTCGCATCGCATACCATCCAGCAAAACAGGCTAGCCTGGCCCCTAGACTCGCCCAGGGTATTTCAGCCTTTTACTTGCTCATAAAAAATTACTGTTTCTTGTCAAAAAAATAAATAAAATAAAATGCCAACCCTTAATTTCGTAAAATTTGGGTTGGACCAACACAATACATTTTTTTCTTGACCTTACAATCATAATTACCATAAAGCACATTACTGTCATTGATTTAACGCATTTAAAATACATAAAAATATACAAGATATAAGAATGAAAACATGTGTACTGAAAACTTACTCCTCCTGGTATTGATGGGACCACCCCTCATTGCCAGCACCAATTTCAACGTACAGCCGGCACTTATTCTGTAAGAGGAACAATTCAAATGAAATATATTCAGATATGGGAGATCACAAAATTTGTCACATTCTCTCTAAATTATAAGATGCCTTCCATCTTAAACACATACTGTACAGTATCTGTGATGAGCTAAAAGCTTATTCAATTCAATATTTTATTTTATGCAGTAAAGATCTGTCCACACTATCAAATTTTCTTTGACAAAAAAACAGTTGTATGCCCATATATAGTCATGATGTGCCTATATATGGTCATGATGTGCCTGTATATGGTCATGATGTGCCTATATATGGTCATGATGTGCCTAT